TTAATTTTAAATATAATAATCGTGTCAGGGCACTTAGAGCATGCAAAGTCATGAAGGGACACTATATTCAGAAAGAAGCCGACATAGGTTTATCCAAAGGTACATATATTTCTCAAATAAAGTCAATATAACTCCTCTATGTCTGTGTTTATTTATTTGGTAATTATAATAGTACTAGTGCATTATCTTTTGGTTTCATTTGGTAATTATGATAGTACTAGTCAATATAACTCTTCTCTGGCGAATCTCTATGCATATATGAGAGCATGTTCCAAGATTTTTAGTCTTGTATGACAGTCAGTATTCTTGCTAAGTAGATGTGGTCATCTGTTGTATGTTTTGATTATTATATAATTTTTATTTTATTTTATTTAAGTGTCACCGACAAAAAGGAGGTGAAGAATGCGGGTATTATGTTATGAGATAATATATGTTGGAAATCATAAAATTCGACGTTGTTGACGAGTTTGAAAAGGTAATTTTTTATAATAATAACAATAAAACTCTTTAGATATCAATATTATATTATCTTAAGTGTTATGTTCTTTTAGTCTTGATTTATTGTTATTTATGTTTTTCAATTAGGTGTTTAATTTGGAAGAAGCATACGTGGAAGAAGAAATTGATGATATACAGAGACGGTGGACCAAGTACTTTTCTCGATATCACCTCATCGGCAAAGTAGTAGACTATATAGGCTTTTGATTGGAATATTTAGTTTATGTTGAACTATTTGAGTTTCCTAATATTGTTAGTTTTTTGGAAAATGTTATACTCCGTTGGTATTATTGATAATGAACTAATTTTAATAAATTTGTTTTATTTTTATTTATTTATCTGTATTGATGGTACATTTGGTTTAAATTAAATAGGTAAAAATGACCATTTATTTACTTTTTACATCGGATAATAAAATATGATATAAAAAGAATCTGATTTTCTATATCGGGTTCGAAATTCAACCCATATAAAAAGATATTTTTTAATATGGGGTGATTCATTCACCCGATATAGAAAGCATATTTCCTATATCAGGTATTCTATAATCCGACTTTCCATATGTCTCTTCTAGATGGGGTGATTCATTCACCCTATATAAAAAGTTTACTTTCTATATGTGGTATTGCCCGATATAAAAAGGTGACACTTATTATATGGGCTGAAACTGTATCGAAGCTGAAATCGATATAGAAAGTCACTTTCACCCGATATAAAAAGAGTTTTTTCCACTAGTGGTTGTTAAGGTGATATTGGGAGCTTTCCTATATTGCGTTTCATGAAAATCCTCGCCTTTTGAAGTAATGTTTGTTTTCTGCCTTGAAATTTAGTGGAAATTACATTGGGAGAGGAAGATAAATTTTTTGAGCTTCACAAGGCGAACCGAACGGAGAAGGTTCTGGCCAATTTTCATGGCTGTTGGATGTGTGGGCTCCAAGCATTAGTTTGCTTGGGCCGGGCTGGTGGTCTAGAGGGCCTGACAGGAATTTTGGTGCAAGGCTGCTGAAGGCGGATGGACTCGGCAGCATCGTTCTGGACGTTCAATATCAAAGGTCGCCTGAGCGGACATATCCTGGCCAAAGAAGATGTTGCGCGGGGTCGGTAGGCTGGGCTGAGCGTAGGGCTGGGGCTGCAAGCGGGTGCCGTCGACGACAAGAGCAGCTGGTCGGAGGCGCAACTGTGGTCTGCCATGGTGCTTCACAGGAAAATCATGCTGCCGTTATTTTCTGGAAATTTTTTTGGCAAGCATAACGCGCGAAAAAGATGGTCCCAATTTTCTGCAGAAATTTTTGGGCGAGAAAAGCAATTGCAGTTCCGTGCAAAATTTTTCGGCCGTTCAAGTTGAAGAGAGAGAGTTTTGGTTTGACGACGTGTGAAAGTGATTAATCTGATAAAAAGACATTTGACGTTGGATTGTAATTTAGTGTCATATTAGTTAGAATTAATTTTTTTTCATATTATTGTCATTATCTATAGTTCAAGATTTTTAATTATTTAATTTTGCTTAATTTTTTTTGGAAAATTCACGATGAAATTTTTTAAAAAATTTCCTAAAATCACACAATTGAGTAACTAAATACAATTTTCTAACTACTTAACTAAAAACATGATAAAATGATAAATCAATCATCTTTTTTATTTGAAATATATACGGTAAAGTATGATCTAATTAATGTTTTTTTAATGTTGTAATACATATTCACGCATATTGGAGTATTGTTTTTTACGTAATACATATTACTAACGCATATAGTTACTAATCTTTTCGCATTATACTCTAATATATAAAAGTGGATATAACTTTAAACATGTTTTTATAGAAAAAAAATTAGCTACTTTCACATTTTTAAAAAATAATACATAATATATTAGGTACTTTTACATTTAATATATAAAGAGGCTACCTAAATAATCTGATAATAGTAACTAAAAATTATCTAAAATCGCGCCTAAATATATTACTAAACATCATCTTATAATAGTAACTAATAATCATCTAAAATCTCGCCTAAATATATTACTATTTATAATAAATTATTTTGAAAAATTTCGTAATATGCGCCTCTGTGAATCGTTTGAATTTTTTGATAATTTGATAAATTTATATATATATCAGTACTAATTTAAAAATAATAAATTGACCTAAAATTATAGTATATATTAATTTTTTTACTCAAGTTAAATAAATTTTATTAAGTATAAAATAACATAAGATAAACTTGTGGTATATTTTTGTTACATAGATTTAAAACAGTCCATATTAAAAAAAATAATAAAAAAATAGAGGTAAACTTACAATTATTCCCACGTTTTGGCTAGAGCACCCATTCCCGATATATATTTGACACTGATTTGCTGTAATGCTGAAACTATGACGAATGCGCCTTAGGTACAAACGAAGCGAAGCGAAGTGAAGTCATAGATAAAACAAGGAAAAGACTAGACCAGAGAAGGGAAATGAGATAACATTAGCTATGTGAAATTACTACTTTTTTGTTGCTAGCGTTTAAATATATGGACTCTGTAAGAAATTGGTTTTCATAAATAATGATCCTATATTATTTATTTTCAATTTTAAAAAATTAAAAAATCAAAAAATTTGTAATACATAATGTATATTTTAATCATGACTCCATAATAATAAACTTTGCAGATGACTAAGAGTATCGTAATATAATAGAATTTTAATTCTTCGCCTATCAAATATTTTAACAAATGATATGCTTCTCAATATTTTCTCATTGTTTTGATTGTTTTGTTTTGTCATTGTTGGAGAATAAAGAAATGATCTTTATCTTGAATTTTATAATCATTTTGTATGATGAATAATGTTGGACAATAAAAGCATTAAAGAAGTTATTAGGCACACGAATATTGCATATTCAAACGAATGTGAAAGATATTATGATAAACAATTCTAAAATCATTGCAACAACCATGATGGTCAATAATTTTCAAATAGTAGATTATATTGTTCGTCTATAATCCAAATAAATAACAATGTCGGAGTATCAAAATAGTTTTGAATGTTTGAATGAAGTTGTCACTTTTTATAGAAATATTTATAATCTCATTGGTGTATTGTATTCGAACATATGTGCAATTACTTTAGAGGTACTTTCAGGTAATGTATGATGATTTCAAAAAATAATTTAGCACCTCGGAAGAAGTACATGTAATCAAAATTTTGGAAAGTCAACTTTTATTTGGGATAAAATTCATTCCCACCTCGTGGACGATGCATCAATGGGGGTAGGCACCAATATGTCTAGAGACAGAGGAATATAGTAGTTTATAGAATGATAAAAAATACCAGCAATTTTAATGACACAGTTAGTTATTTCGTAGAGATATTTATGCATTGTTAGTAGAAGTACCTTATTATAAAGATTATGCGATCATGAAGTTTGACTATATGTTGGGTCATAATGTTTCTTAAGTGCTTGAATAAAATTAACGTTTTGCCAAATGAATTAAGAGAAATTTTGCAATAGTATTGATGTAATGGACTCCAACGAGTACGAATGTTTATTATGAAAAAGATGAAAGAAAATCTTAGTGTTTTTTGTATTAAAAATTTGTTTTTTTTTATATATTTTAGTTGGGAGTTGTAAAACGTTATTTCACTCTTTTTATATTAGGACATCATTACGTTAATTCTAAATAAAAAAAAAAAATCACATATGAATTCATTTGTTCTATATTTTATTTCATTCCTGCAATGATATGTTTAATAAATAAATTAATTTATTTTACAAACTTATTCAGCGAAAATCATTCGATACCACGTGTATCGCACGTGCACTTCACTAGTGTAATAAAAAGAAGGGTTAATTGCAGATAAAACTCTAACCTTTTGTTAAGTTGCAGATAAAACTCCACTTTATAAGTTTGGTAAAAAAAAAAAAAATACAAACCTTTCATAAATGTTGCAATTGTCTCAACCGCCACCCACCGCCGCCAACTGCCACCCGTCGCCGGCCAACCTCGCCGAATGTTGAAAATTTTTTACATGATCTTGTAGCTCTCCTCCGTGCCGACAACATATCCGAGTTTTACGAAAAAATTCCGACGATAAGGCTTCCAATTTTCCGGTCAAAGCTTGTAGATATACAAATTTTCTCCGGCTCTTTCGCTAATTCCCGGTGACTCGCTTTGACCCACGTGAATCCGAAGGTACCGTTGAACTCCTCTCGCAAAGCCGCATCTAGTGACGTCCACCTTCGCCGGAACCAGTGACTTTTTTTGGTGACGACTTTTCCGGTAATCTCCTTATCGGGAATTTTTTCTTGAAACTCGACGGAGGAGAGCTACAAGATCATGTAAAAATTTTCAACATCCGGCAAAGTGGCCGGCGGCTGGTGGTGGGTGGCGGTTGGCTGTTGAGACACAATTGCAATACTTATGAAAGGTTTGTACTTTTTTTGTCAAACTTATAAAGTGAAGTTTTATCTACAATTTAACAAAAGATTAGAGTTTTATATGCAATTAACGCTAAAAAGAAAGAGCGAAGAAATATATAACTGAAAAAGGCAAGGGCGCCACGTTACTCAAAACGTAAAACGCGAGCGTTCACCTCAAATCACTCACAAACTACTACTCCAATATTCGCCACATCGTAATTTGACCTCCATCGATCGATATACTCTCTTTCGAGTGGGAGATCCCAAGGAAAGAGAGAGAGAAGAGGATCACCATTTCCATAGATAAGTCTCAGATTGCAACGAGAAATACCAGAGAGAAATGGGTTGCTCCTTCTCTGGATTGAACGCCCTATACGACGCCGTTAATGGCGCCGGAGACGTCTGGATCAACGAGAACCGTTTCAGGATCGTGAGGCAGCTCGGCGAGGGCGGATTCGCCTACGTCTACCTGGTGAAAGAGCTTCTCGCCGACCCTTCGAACTCTTCCAATGGCATCTCCGCCAAAATCAAGGACTCGACTCACGTCGCCGGTAATGTTATCATTTTCGTCGTCCGATCCGCTATTTTTTTGGGGGGGTTTCTCTGATCATGTTAGTTATGGTTTCGTTTAGCCTGATTGAGAACGAAGAATAAGGGATTGCATAATTTCAACAGATTAAGGCGAGATCTATTGTATTAACGATATGTAGAAATTTGCTGGTTGGTTGAAATTGCTCGTGTAGGATGAATTTGTGTGAATAACTGTCTGAAATAATTTTTTGTGTTTTTGCTGGTTGGTTGAAATTGCTCACGTGTTGGATGAATTTGTGTGAATAATGACAAATGATTTTTTGTGTTTACCGGAAGCTGCTGATTTGAGGGGAAAATGATTACTTGCTTAGAAGATAGTGAATAATTTTGAGGAGTAGGAGGGTCCTCATTTTTATTATAAAAGTTGAATGGCAGAGCAATAAAATGATTTGGAATCTATTGGAAAGTAAAGTTGAAAATAATTTACAGTTAATTGCTTACCTTGAGGCCAACTTTTGGCTTCAAAAAGTTCAACTTATGAAGACAGGAGTGGTTGGGAGATGAAAAGAATTGTCCAAGACTTGAGAGAGAAAATTTGGTTTCGTGAATGTTAATGTTGCCGAAGTTTGGGGTGCCTATTGAGTTAAAAGATTTGACCTGATTTGTGCTTTGTCCATCTGCATGGCTTCACATAGGTGATGGAACTTATGCTATGAAGAAAGTTCTCATTCAAAATAGTGAGCAGTTGGAGTTGGTGAGGGAGGAAATTCGTGTTTCATCTCAGTTTAGCCATCCTAATCTGCTTCCTCTTCTTGATCATGCAATAATTGCAGTCAAGGTAATTATTCTTTGTTTTGTAAAAGAGGCTGCAAAATCTGAACTCTATAATTGACTATGTTTTGGACAAGAGGACCGTACACAAGTGGGCTACATGTTGCATTATAAGTTCCTAATGTCTGTAATGCTGCAGGAAGAAAATAATGCTCAAAAGTTTGAATCCACTGGATGTTTCTAGCTGAGGTTGCAATATTTCGTCATGAGTATATTGCTGGTCAAAATTGGATTTTCCTGGTCAAATCCTGTAAAAAATGTGTATTGGAAGAGAAAAATAGCTTTGTGAAAGAACCTGTAAAATATCTGGTCCTTGAATAATATAAAAAAAAAAATGGAAAAATGATTCTTTCAAATTGGATTTGTAGCAAAATTATTGCTGGAGTAGCCAGCACCATGTGATTCCCAAGCTACTCTACTAATCAACTTTTCTAATAACAGAATTCGACATACTGTTTTAGACCATAAGTCAAGTCGATAGTTTGTCTCTTCAGTCGCTCTTCATATCAACGAGAGGGCTGGATCTTTTATCACCTACTCAAAAAATATTATATTGACCCAGATTTATCTAGTGTCAAACTATACTGCATGCTATCTGATTGGTTGCTGATCTAACATTCTTGGTTCTATGATCAGCCTTCACAAGATCAATCCTGGAAGCATGAAGCATACTTATTGTTTCCTGTCCATTTGGACGGAACATTGTTGGACAACGCCAAAGCTATGAAGGCTAAGAAGGAGTTCTATTCCACCTCAGATGTGCTTCAAATATTTCGTCAGGTTGGTATGGATACATATTTCATGCCTCCATTTGTAGAATTTTTCTTTATTTACACTGAAGAAATAATAAATCATACAAATACCAAGTATCAAAAGATTTTTTTTTTTTTTTTCTACAATCCACAATGCGCCTGTTTATTGTTATTCTCTTAAAAGATGAGGATTGATTTACTTCGAAATGTTCATATGCAGCTTTGTGCAGGGCTTAAACATATGCACACCTTTGACCCTCCATATGCACATAACGATGTCAAACCTGGGAATGTCCTTGTGACATACAGGAAAGGTCAGTCACCTTTAACTATATTGATGGACTTTGGAAGTGCTCGTCCTGCAAGAAAGCAAATCCGATCACGTTCAGAAGCGTTACAGTTGCAGGTTCTTCTCATAACTTCAAAGTCATGAAGGATTTCTCATCATTCATTGTATTAATATCATTCTGTATCTGCTCAAAATAAATTTTAAATCACGAATGTACCTAGGGTTCTAACAATCAATTGTGTTGCTTTTGAAAAGAACACCCCACTCCCAAAAAATATAATGAAATAAATCAACCCTGAAGGAGTGTGAGCTGCTTGCCTAGTCTGGGTAGTGAATATAGATAAACTGTAAAGTCATTTACTTCTGTCAATTACATCTTGTTTATTTCTGGATAGCTGTAAAAAAATTTCGAACCATAATTTCGATTTCAAGTATCTTAAACTTTTTTGTAGCTTATATGCAAACCAGTTATGTTTCATCATTTGAAAAATGTTCCACTTGATCTCTGGATGTTTTTCATGTAGGAATGGGCTTCTGAGCACTGCTCTGCTCCTTTCAGAGCTCCTGAATTATGGGATTGTCCAAGCCATGCAGACATTGACGAGAGAACTGACATCTGGTCGCTAGGCTGCACTTTGTATGCAATCATGTAAGAACTGTTTCCTTCTTGTTATAAGGAGTCTTTACTTTCTTATTTCAGAAGAATTTTTAACAGTTCGCAATTTTGTGATTGGAGCATAAAGTTACTATGAGTATCTATTTTTCTTCCACAAGACCACAACCATAATTGACAAAGTTTGGTCTTTTCCCCGGGTGATCAACTATAATGGTCACCAATTGTTTGATACATTTGCTATAAAGGATAGGAAAGCATCTTCATGTCTATCATTACCGCAGAAAATGACATGCATTAAGGTTTAGTAAAGTTGTGTCTCTGTACATTGTGGAATTTAAAAAAATAAAATAAAAATAAAAATTGTAGAAGAGCACCAGAGGTTGAACCATTCTGGACACCAGTATAGGAGCATCTAAATGAGTTACCAACTTCGCACACTTTTATCAGCATCAACAGGCCCTCAAAATTGATTGGTTTTATCTATAAAATCGGCCAAGGACAAGTTTGGAAGTTTGCCTGTATTGCATATGATGCTTTTTACGTACGCTGCTGATTGATGTAGAAATATAAATGCTGTCTGTCCTGTGTGCTGAACTAATATTTTGTTTCCATCCCAGTAAACCTTTAACCTGCACCACATAATCAACATGTAATTTCATAAAAGACACACTACAGTGAGCACCCTGCAATATAAATTGTTAAATTACGAGTTTAATCTGTCGATACCTTTTCCTTTAGGTACGGTGAGTCTCCTTTTGAGTACGCGCTCGGGGAATCTGGGGGCAGCTTACAGCTGGCTATTGTAAATGCCCAAGTAAAGTGGCCAGCGGGGCCCAACCCTCCTTACCCGGAGGCCCTTCACCAGTTCGTGCAATGGATGCTTCAGCCCCAGGCTACCGTGCGACCCTGCATTGATGACATCATAATTCACGTGGACAAGCTAATCTCGAAATTTTCCAATTGAATGAAGGAATTTGAACCCCGTGGATTGCAGAATGTTGTATTTTGAGCTTGCCAGTTGATAGATTTACTCGATATTTGTGTTAAAACCCTGTGATAGGAGGATATAAGTTATATGGAGTATTTCTCTAAGTATTATAATGTGCTGGGAGGAAATTTTGGCGGTTTGCCTTTTTATGGTACGGCATTTACCGAGTATGTTAAAATTATGTTAATTTTTGCTATCAGTACTGTGCATGTTCCCACTTCCCAGCCTTGTTCCAGCTACGAATGAATTTATACGGTAGATAGTAGATACTACCCGTAACCTCATCATGTGTCAGTGAATTGCATGTATTCTGCTTTGAATGGGCATCTTTTTTACCTTATTATT